AATAATCAAAGGTTGCATATCCAAGCGAAATATATAAGATGTTTGTTTCAAAGGTAAAATAATTGTAAAGTTATTATTATGTTTAAATGCGATAATCAAAGTTAATAGATATATCAGAAATACTTGTATTCTTAAACACAACGTGTAATGTTTGCACACATTCTTTCAAACATGCATTGTTGTCGAAAAAGACCAGCATTGTTATTTTACATTAGCATTTTTTTCTTATTTGTTTTCTATTGTATATTCAATGATACGTACGGTTATTCGAACAAAAAACTCTTTTCTGAAACCACTTTCTCATCCCATAACAAGTGTACATATGTTCTAATTATGGGAAATTTCAGATATCTTTTAGAGTAATCCATACAATAAAAAAAAACAGCCAATAGTACATGAACATTTAGAAATAGTAAGATCAATTTCACACGCATTCTATTGGTTCACACAGAAAGTATCGTTGTATGGGTCACCAGTCATACATCTTTTGTTTTTACTTTGCGTCATTATTTAAATATAATACTTTTAGATATAGCTGGTCAGAATATCCAGTTAGAAAACTCTTATGTAAGTCCTATTCCTAGTGCAAAATATGTAATTGCCACCTTTCTATAATACAACAAAAAAATAAAAAAAACATAAGGCACAAAAAGACAAAAAAAGACACAAAAAGAAAACATTGATGACAACAAAATAGTTTAAGGCTCCTGACTTTTTACAGTCTCATAAACAAAGTGACTGATTTGAATATATATGCAGGTGCTACTCTTCAGTAAAAAAAATACTTTTTATTTCAAATATAAGCAAGTAAAATGTTGGTTAAAATTGCAAGAATGTTTTCTATGGTATAAATAAATAGAGAAAATAAGAAAGTCAAAAACAAAACAAACATTTAAAATTTAGACAATAAATAACCGAGCTACTTTCAATAATGAGAAAAAAAAAACATACCGTATAGTTGGTTATAAAAGGCACAGACAGAAAAAAAATATCAAACAATTAAGTTGAGATAAAAAAAAGCCTTATAAACAACAAAACAATTGACGAAAAAAAAAATGTGACAGACAAGAACCAACGACAACCACTTTTCTGCAGGCTCCCCACTTGGTACAGGCGAATAAGTTATGTTGCGGGGTTATAATTGTTTGTGAGCTAGCTATAAAATATACTCCAATAAGCCATTACTTCATAGATTAAGAAGTTTGTCTTCTCAAAATGGTAATGTCATGGCAAGTCACATTTGTACGGTAATACAAAGTTTTGTTGAAATTCACAATTGCTTGTACATATTGTAGTTCTAATATTACGTCCTCTTGTTGCCATTACGTGTACCTTAATTAAAAATCGTCATATCAATTCTCAAAAACTACAAATGAGATTGCAAACTTTTGAAGGATATCAGACTTATTTGATTGGATGTGCGTATATATCTTATTTACGTAAAAGGGTCAATAATGGAGTTCCTTATGAGATCCACACAAGAAAATAGATTAATGAATCCTATAAAAAAAAAATACGTAAGCGTGTAAGAGCCACACGAACTTTTCTTTTACTTCAAGCTTAATTTTACGTATAATGCAAATCTTTGGGAAATAGCGCAAACATTTGCGAAAAATAATGCAAATCCTTAGGAAGTAACGCTTGTTTTGTTAATAAATTGTTTTAATATATTCTGAGATTTTAACAACCAAGCGTGTCTATGCCTTAATAAACATGTGCCTTATAATAATGTATAATGCGACACGAGTTGTCATTTTTGTATAACCCGTTTTTTCTACATGTTTGAAAAGGAGTGTATTTTTGTAAAAATCCTACTAGTAAAAATATGGACTAACAAAAACTATTTATTTATTTCCTAGCTAAACAGCTTAATAAACTGGTTGAACATTTCATTTAAAGTCAGATGTTTTGAGTGTAGGTATACCAATCTCCTTAGAAAACAAAATGAAAATTCACTAGATAAGCTACACTTATCTATAAACCTGTCATAATGTGCATGTATCCTGAATTTAAGGTGGATCAACACTAAATATTTCTTGAGACAGAATTTTTTTATATTTTGTGTAAATGCAGTTTATAAAATACTCTTTTGAAAAAAACAATAAAAAATAGGGGTCACCGTGCTTGTTTGGTCAGTACCCTTATCCAAAGTATTGTGTATTTTCGAGGTTTTTTACATAGATATTACAGGGAAATCGGCATTTGTAAATTTTCCCTAGTTCAGAAAAAAAATCCATGAGACAGATTTTTCTTATTTTCTCTAGAATTGTAGCAAAGATATAGATGAAAAAAAAAATAATAAAAAAACATAGGGTCACCGTGCATTTTAAAGAAATATTTCATCATTTGCTTGAATATTTTCAGATTTTCAGGAAGGGGAGATAACTGTATCCAGATTTCCCGGGAAAAGATTAATATAAATACTCATTACTAATAGAACTAAATTAGGTAAATTCTAGGTCCTTATTATTATTTGAAACACTTTTGTGTTACAGATTTCTACTACAAAAATCCATGATAACCAATGATATCTCCATAGCAACCAAATAAATCAATTTATGCACTTGGAAATTAGAACATAGAGAAACATGTAAATTTGAGCATATTTATGTAGTACAAATTATAAGTCTTTATTGCTTAAATTGATTTCACAATCTGTTATTCTCTGCAAAATTATATTAAAGGAATGCCTATAAGTTATTTTGAGATATCTGGACCAAAATTTGGGTAAAATCCAATTTTTTTAACACAAAATCACAAATTTTGAGAAACTAATTTTTGTACTTGAATTTCAACCAAATTTATATACAATTTAGAAAATGTTATCAAAACTTGGTTTTATACACCAACAATTATTTTGATCTTGTAGATTCTTCTTCTCGGTTTAAAAAAAAATCACAAATTTTGAACAATGACGTACAGGTAGGGTTAGGCATTCAAAATCATATCCAGATGTCAAAAAGTTTCAATATGTTGTAAAAAACTAACTTTCTGATCCCGTAAAGTGGAGTTGCTCTAGAGGCATGCATGCAGTGGAAGATCCAGAAGTAGGGGTCTGCACTGGTCATGCTTCAGTGATTACCTACATATAAATCAACCAACCCCCCTTTTTTTTCTGCGTGCATCAATCTCTCCGTGTGTCTCATAAAAATGTGCAAGTGGTTTTCTAGTTGTCATCTTTTTACCTTGTTTTCATGTCAGTTTTCGTTATCATGTATTTTGAGGGAAAATGCTAATTTTGATGTACAATATGTGGATTTTGAGGATTATTATCTCTTTTTGCACAATTGACCAAAACATATTTTGAGTACTAGTCACCAACTTACCGTTTTTACCATGTTACAGATTTTAGTACAAGCCATTTTGCTAATGATAAATGCCATAAGGTGACCTATAGTAGCTGACTTCTACGCCTGAATAGTTGTCTCATTGTCAAAGATATCACACATTCTTATTTTTACAATACAAATTTAATTAATGTATACATTTAAACATTTTCACAAAAGAAAGCAAATAAAGACTTATGGCTGACCATGTGGTATGGGCTTTGCTTATTGTTGAAGACTTGATGGTTACCAATAGCTGTTTCTGCGTCATTTGTTCTCTAAAGGAGAGTTGTTACATTGGCAATCGAACCACATCTTTTTATTTTGCTGAACACACATTCTTTTTACAGGTTGATCAATAATTTGAAAGGGTCCTCTATATGTCAATCAGTAAACTGCAGCTTCTACTAGACACATAAATTGAAATTCATTATTTGAGTAAAAAAGAGATTAAAAGGTTAAAATTAAAATTTGTTTGCTAGAAAGAAAGATGTCAAATGGCTTTGTTGACTTTTATTCCCTATCCTTTGCATCCATGCCAAATTTAAAACAAATTGAAGAAAACACATGAGCTCAATCTGATGAAAGGGATCTGTATTATGTATCCAAGACATATATAATATTGCACTTATTCTGTTGCACAATATACAGAAAGAAATACAAGCATGAACTATAAGCAATTTTTATTAATTAATAGACTGGTAATTTAGTCCATTATGTATCATATTGTAAATATATATATATATATATATATATGAATATATAATGTTTGAATCCAAATTAAGATTTGCAATTTTCATTATTTTTTTTATCACAGTTGTTACAAACACTTATTGTATTACATATTGAAAACAAAAATGTCAGTAGGAACAGTAAAATTTAAAAACCACCAGTCAAGATAAATCTGATAAAACTTGTTAATGAAAAGAAAAATATTTGCAACCTGTATAAAATTTAAACCACATCAACTCTTATTGATCTTTGCATAGTGTTTGAATTCTTTATTTGATAAAATGATAAAAGGCAAAATAAATTCCAGCACATATTAACAAACATATATGCAAGAACAGTACTACATCATAACCCTTCATGTACAAGCTTGGTCAAATAACAAACCAGATACTCACATGAACATGTATTTTCTCATATAATTTTTCTATAAATTTTCTTTAAAACATTTTTTTATAACAAATCATTCTCACAAGTCATTATTTAATAGTATCATTCTGAAAAAATATCTATTTTACATATTTCGTTAATAATCATGTTAATTTTGGATAAAATTTTACCAACAAGTGTGGTAACAAGATAGAATATTCCATTTTTAATTAATTGAAATTTGCCTCCTAAATTAAGATATGAAATGTGAACAGAAGACAAGAATTGACACAAACTGATGGCAACAGCTCACAAATCCTTAAATAAGTAGTGATATTATACAATGACAGTACAAATTATAAACATGTTATAAACTATATATCAGGTAGATATAAGTTTAAGTGGTCTTTTTCAAGTCTAACAAATTACATTCACTAATATGGATCACACAACATATGTGTGGTACACAATATGATCATTCTTACTGTGGTAAAACAAAATGTCATCTTTGACTTTAAATCCTTCATACAATTAAAGAACTATAGACAACATTATAAAATTTTATAAAACATTTTACTACTAAAATTCTATTTCCTGACATTCAGCATGGACGGATCAATCAAATTGCTAAAAAATAAGGTATGCGTAGTAGACTACAGGACCAGTCAAATTTTTCTAATCTCTTATCCAAAAATTTAGCTCACAAACAAATATTAACTTTAACATTTATGGTGCAATGTAGTATTTAAATCTTTATATTATATATATTGACCTGATTCTCCATAAGGTCAAAGATTTAGCATCCTAAGAAGTAGGTTTCTTTGATAATAACAATTATTGCTAATTGATATAATAGAAGCTTGGTCACAGAAGCAAGTATGTCTGTAGATTAAAATTTCTGTTAATCTCTAGTAGCATTCACCATAATATGTTCCATTTAAATTCTACAATGTATATATAATCAGATTCATATGGAATCTAAAACAATTTACTCTTCATTTCATATAACAAAAAAATCATACACCTTCTGAATGATAGATTTTGATGTTGTAACACGTACTACACCTGAACTATTTTTTTGAGACAAAAGTGCCCTCAGTCCATCAATACCATTTCTTTGAATTGACAAAATAAAATGCTTCTTGCACAACCCAGTTGAAGCTGCCTTTTTGGCTAATTGTTTTGACATTACTTTATTTTCAACAAGAGCTTTGAAAGATAAGTCATTTTGGCAATATTTTGGGTACATTCCATCAAATGTATACTTACAGAAATGAGAAGCTAAATTTCCATGTGATCGCACCAGTTTAAATAAAGATTTACAGTCATACAAAGCATTATGTGCATCATAACTTTCCCCCAAAAAAATCTGACACTAAATCACACTGCTTGTAACTTTGACGACCTGGATATTCACTCCTAAACAATATTCTTGTGTCAATGAACCCATTAAAATACAGGCAAAATTCATCCCACATCTTCAATTTATTCAATTGATTATACAGTATATGGCAGTCAAACGTTTTTATATTGTGTCCAACAAGTGTTGGTTTAGAAGGAAACTTGGACAAAAAAGCAATAAGATTAGTAAAGACTTCAAATGGTGGTGAACTTTCCAAAGGAACTTCATCATAGTACATTTGCCCATCAAAGAATGCAAGTTTTGTTATATCAGATGCCTGTGGTGTTATCTTCTTTGATGGCATAACATAGGCTGAGAAAGTTTCATTCTCAGTTAAAGCTGCTATCTGTACAATATCTGACTGACGAGCTGAAATTTTTAAAATGATCTGTTAATCAAACTCAATAGATATAAGAAGATGAGGTATGAGTGAACTGTCCATCCAAGTCACAATTTATTAAAGTAAACTATTATAGATCAAAGTACGTCCTTTAATATGGACCCTTAGTTCACACCCAACTACAAGCTAATAAAATGCTCTGCTGGGGCGCAGCTTGATACGACCGCAGAGGTCGAACCCTGAAAACCAGTTGGGGCAAGTATGGACACAACATTCAAGCTTGATACAGCACTGAATTTGGATTGTAATTAAATATTTGACACAGCATAGGTTTCTGACACAGAATGAAAGTGGTCTAAGAACTTAAAAAATTTTAATTTACCTATTCAAACCATATCATTATTATTTGCTTTTATATATAAATCAGAAATAACCAATTTAAAATGGAAAATTTTAAAGAAAAAAAAGGGGAAAAAAAATCCCCCCAACATTTTTTGAACCCCAATATGATTCATCACCCCCAAACTCAATCCCAGCCTTCCCTTTGTGGTATGGCACCTTGCAGTACAATTTCAGAGAGATCCATACACTTGAACACAAGTTATTGTCTGGAAACTAGAAAAATGCTTGTTTTTGGCCCCTTTTTGGCCCCAAATTCCTAATCGTTTAGGGCAATTACCCCCAAACTCAAACCCAGCTTTCCCTTTGTGATATGGAACCTTGCAGTACAATTTCATAAAGATCCATACACTTACACACAAGTTATTGTCCTGAAAGTAGAAAAATGCTTGTTTTTTTCCTAAAATTTTGAGGAAATTACCCCTAAAATCAATCCCAGCCTTCCTTTTGTGGTATGGTACCTTGCAGTACAATTTCAGAGAGATCCATACACCTGAACACAAGTTATTGTCTGGAAACTAGAAAAATGCTTATTTTTGGCCCCTTTTTGGCCCCTTATTCCTAAACATTTTGGGCAATTACCCCAAAACTCAATTCCAGCTTCGGAACATCAGGTAAATGAATTTATTCTTAAATTTATGAAATAAAAGGGTTAATTTTTCAAAAAATAAAATTAACCTCTGTATTTCTGTAATTGTTTTGTACATAAATCAGGTGGTTAGTTTTTTTCTGGTTTTGTCATTTTGTGGCCTTCCATACCTGACTGTGTGGTATGAGTATTGATCATTGTCAAAGGCTATATGGTAACCTATAGTTAACCTCTTTGCCATTTAGTCTCTGGTAGAGAATTGTCTCATTTGGCAACCATACTACATCTTCTTATTTTATAATCATTATGATAACTTCAAAACAGGAACAACTGAAAATGCCAAGGATGGTTCTGTATATATCAGAGTTTTATTGTTGTGTAATAGCAATGACTTAGGCACATTTAGTATTCATTGGGGAATCAATTAATAATTAGAATATTTTATTGTGAGAATATACCCAATACTATTACAAAAAAGAAGCATTCAATTCTTGTAATTATATTATTAAGCTACCACCCAATGAGTAATATCACGATTTTGTTCTTTTCCCATGCATCATTGTGGTCCGAGTACACAGTTATTTCGTAGTGCATTTCTTTTAGACAATAAATGAAAATTAAAAAAATCCCACCTGCGCTTTCTCAATAATATTTTTACAGTGTGTTGTACTACTTTTGGGACAAATTATATCAAAATTATAGAAAACTTCATCGGCTCTAACTCAAAATATGGACAATTTCATGCTAAGGGGGTCTTCAAATCTTTTGACAGTTTCCGATGTGCTAATTTTTAACATTTTTCAGCTGGACCAAATCACTACTTTACTTTAAAATTCATGACCCAAATTTTTTTACAGTGTCATTTCACCCCCTACTTACTATTTGAGTCATAAAACATGGAGAAATAAATTCGGAAGGGGTATCAAAAAAATCGACAAGTAACACACTGTCCACACTAGGGACTATATTCGTGGACAACGAAAATCAAAGGACGATAACTGTGTACCCGGACCTTGTGACATTGTCATGGGAAGCACACACATTTATGAATGTTGTATTTTTTTGGAGAAAAGAAAGATATTTTTGAATTCTTTGTGATTTTTGTTAGCCAGCAAAAGTATACATTTTTAAGAAATGTAATTTCATGTAAAAATGAAGCTGTTTACACCAATAAATTTTGATTGATTATGTCTCAGATACACATAAATTTCTCTATAGGAATACATACACAAGCCTGTAGTTTCAAGATCAAATACTAAAATTGGAAAGTTTTCCTCAGCTGTTATCTGTTTCCAAGTTGGAATTTCTTCTAGTTGGTCAGTTATATCATCCTCAATGTCTACAAAATAGTATTAGTTACACAGTGTGTAATTGTCCTAATACAAGAATTTATCAGGTGAATAAAATTCATATTCATTGAGGCAAAGCAAAACCCGATATGAATTTTATTCACAAAATAAATTCCATATTAGGACAATTGCACATGTGTAAAGAATTTCTCCTGATTTTGTTATATTACATATTATTATATTCATATTCAATTATTTGGACAATACCAACGAAATATATTTAGACATTTAATCTTAAATTTGAAAAATAAGTATTAGGAATTTAAAACCACTAATTTTTCTTGGTTTTTTTTCATTATGTCAATGGTATAAGGGAGATAATTCCAATTTATGTAATAGAAAATTGTACTGAAATTTATTAAACCAATATCAGGTAATCAAATTGCGAGAAATTACTCTATATCATGATAATTATTCTTGTTATTTGATTATTGCTTTACATTTGGTTTATTTTTTTTTAGTTAATTGTGCTAATGAGGATAATAGTTAAAGAAAGAGTTATTATATGTCATTTTGTAACTTGTGGAAAGTTGTCTCATTGGCAATTATAAACTGTTATATATTTGTTGCAAACAATGTTGTATTAGAATTATATTTGGCTTATAACCAGAAGCTTTGAGAAGTTTGCTAGGGCTTATTTGGATTAACTGTGACATGAATGAAAAAATTTGATTTAAAATATAATGATAGGTAAGGCATGAGTTTCTTTTCAAAGGAAAAACTGAATGTGAAACGTGAATGAATAAAAAATGACTATGGATGCAAAATGATGGTATTACCTCACCATTGCATCCAGCAAGGTGAGCTTTAAATGAAAAGTGGCATGCTCCTGTATTGTAATTGTGTCAAATATGATATTTAATAAAATGCTCCGCAGGGCGCAGCTTGATACGACCGCAGAGGTCGAACCCTGAACAGTTGGGGCAAGTATGGACACAACATTCAAGCTTGATACAGCTTTGCATTTAGATTGTGATTAAATATTTGACACAGCATAGGTTTCTGACACAGAATGAATGTGGTCTAAGAACTTGAAAATTTTAAATTGGACATTCACCTATTACGGTCCAATATCCAAAATCTAAATACATGGTTAGATTCAGCATATCAAAGAACCCCAAGAATTCAATTTTTTATGAAATCAAACAAAGTTTAATTTTGGACCCTTTTGACCTCAATGTGGACAAAGTTGATAACGGGGCCCAAAAATCAAAAATCTAAATACATGGTTAGATTCAGCATATCAAAGAACCCCATATATTCAATTTTTATTGAAATCAATCAAAGTTTAATTTTGGGCCCCGATTTGGACCAACTTGAAAACTGGGCCCATAATCAAAAATCTAAATACATGTTTAGATTCAGCATATCAAAGAACCCTTAGAATTCAATTTTTGTTAAAATCAAACTAAGTTTAATTTTGGACCCTTTGGACCTTAATGTAGACCAATTTGAAAACGGAACCAAAAATTAAGAATCTAAATACACTGTTAGATTCGGCATATCAAAGAACCCCAATAATTCAATTTTTGATGAAATCAAACAAAGTTTAATTTTGGACCCTTTGGACCTCAATGTGGACCAATTTAAAAACGGGGCCCAAAATCCAAAAACTAAATACATGGTTAGATTCAGCATATTAAAGAACCCCAAGAATTCAAGAATAAAACCCCATTGAAATTGGTCAAGAAATAAGCAATTTATATGAAGTATCTTCTTTTGCACAATACTGTGCAATTAAATATTTCTTGCTATTGCGCAATACTGTACAATTGACAATTTCTTGCTATTGCGCAATATTGTGCTATTGGATACTTCTTGCTATTGCGCAATACTGTGCAATTGAAGATTTCTTGTTATTGTGCAATACTGTGCAATTGAAGATTTCTTGCTATTGTGCAATACTGTGCAATTGAAAATTTCTTGCTATTGCGCAATACTTATTATATAATAATTTACACATCCTGTTTGGTGTGTATCTCCTACCATATCATTATTATTTGCTTTTAAATATAAATCAGAAATAACCAACTTAAAATGGAAAATTTTAAAAGAAAAAAAAAGGAAAAAAAAAAAAAATCCCCCCCCCCAAATTTTTTGAACCCCCTTATGATTCATCACCCCCAAACTCAATCCCAGCCTTCCCTTTGTGGTATGGTACCTTGCAGTACAATTTCAGAGAGATCCATACACTTGAACACAAGTTATTGTCTGGAAACTAGAAAAATGTGTTTTTTGGCCCCAAATTCCTTAACATTTAGGGCAATTACACCCCAAACTCAATTCCAGCTTTCCCTTTGTGATATGGAACCTTGTAGTACAATTTCAGAAAGATCCATACACTTACACACAAGTTATTGTCATGAAACTAGAAAAATGCTTGTTTTTTGCCCCTTTTTTGGCCCCTAATTCCTAGAATTTTGAGGCAATTACCCCCAAAATCAATCCCAGCATTCCTTTTGTGATATGGAACCTTGTGGTACAATGTCAGAGAGATCCATACACTAACACACAAGTTATGTCTGGAAGTTACAATAAAATGCTTTGCTGGGGCGCAGCTTGATACGACCGCAGAGGTCGAACCCTGAACAGTTGGGGCAAGTATGGACACAACATTCAAGCTTGATACAGCTCTGAATTTGGATTGTTATTAAATATTTGACACAGCATAGGTTTCTGACACAGAAAGAATGTGGTCTAAGAACTTGAATTTTTTTAATTTACCTATTATGGTCCAATGTCCAAAATCAAAATACATGGTTAGATTCAGCATATCAAAGAACCCCATATATTCAATTTTTGTTAAAATCAAACAAAGTTTAATTTTGGACCCCAACTTGGACAAACTTGAAAACTGGGCCCATAATCAAAAATCTAAACACATGTTTAGATTCAGCATATCAAATAACCCCAAGAATTCAATTTTTGCTAAAATCAAACTAAGTTTAATTTTGGACCCTTTGGACCTTAATGTAGAACAATTTAAAAAACGGGACTTAAAATTAAAAATCTAAATACACGGTTAGATTTGGAATGTCAAAGAACCCCAATAATTCAATTTTTGATGAAATCAAACAAAGTTTAATTTTGGACCCTTTTGACCTCAATATGAACCAATTTGATAGCGGGGCCCACAAATAAAAAATCTAAATTCATGGTTAGATTCAGCATATCAAAGAACCTCATATATTCAACTTTTGTTGAAATCAAAAAAAGTTTAATTTTGGACCCCAACTTGGACCAACTTGAAAACTGGGCCCATAATCAAAAATCTAAACACATGTTTAGATTCAGCATATCAAAGAACCCCAAGAATTCAATTTTTGTTAAAATCAAACTAAGTTTAATTTTGGACCCTTTGGACCTCAATGAAGACCAATTTAAAAAACGGGACTCAAATTAAAAATCTAAAAACACGGTTAGATTTGGCATATCAAAGAACCCCAATAATTCAATTTTTGATGAAATCAAACAAAGTTTAATTTTGGACCCTTTTGACCTCAATATGAACCAATTGGATAGCGGGGCCTACAAATAAAAAATCTAAATACATGGTTAGATTCAGCATATCAAAGAACCTCATATATTCAATTTTTGTTGAAATCAAACAAAGTTTAATTTTGGACCCCAATTTGGACCAACTTCAAAACTGGGCCCATAATCAAAAATCTAAATACATGTATAGATTCAGTATATCAAAGAACCCCATATATTCAATTTTTGTTGAAATCAAACAAAGTTTAAATACTGGACCCTATCTTGGACCAACTTGAAAACTGGGCCCATAATCAAAAATCTAAACACATGTTTAGATTCAGCATATCAAAGAACCCCAAGAATTCAATTTTTGTTAAAATCAAATTAAGTTTAATTTTCGACCCTTTGGACCTTAATGTAGACCAATTTAAAAAACAGGACCCAAAATTAAAAATCTAAATACACGGTTAGATTTGGAATATCAAAGAACCCCAATAATTCAATTTTAGATGAAATCAAACAAAGTTTAATTTTGGACCCTTTTGACCTCAATATGAACCAATTTGATAACGGGGTCCACAAATAAAAAATCTAAATACATGGTTAGATTCAGCATATCAAGGAATCCCATATATTCAATTTCTGTTGAAATCAAACAAAGTTTAATTTTGGACCCCAATTTGGACCAACTTGAAAACTGGGCCAAAAATCAAAAATCTAAACACATGTTTAGATTCAGCATATCAAAGAACCTCATATATTCAATTTTTGCTAAAATCAAACAAAGTTTAATTTTGGACCCTTTGGACCTTAATGTAGACCAATTTGAAAACTGGACCCAAAATTAAAAATCTAAATACACTGTTGGATTCGGCATAACAAATAAATAAATGTGATCAAAGATTTTACAAATCTAATGCGCCATACTGTGCAATTAAAAATTTCTTCTTGAAATTTTTCAATATTTGAAATTTGAAAAAAAAATAATATTTGAAGAATAATTTTTTTAATTTCTGAAATCTGAAATGAGAAAAATTGACCCCCCACAACTTCTTTTTATCCCCCCCCCCCCTTTTTTCCCCCAAAAAATTCTTTCCCTCAAGATATGGTCATAATCTCAATTCAAATTTCCAATGGAGTTGGCAACCATAATTACCCATTTACCATAGTGCTAACTTAATCTATTTTATAATAGAATTAATAAATATAGTGTCAAATCTTTCATATGGATTTTTTTGTAAAAAAATAAGATGCAACATTTGCAGATATTTTTACTGGTCTTCCTTTATAAATATGCATTTCTTTAAACATAATTTAAAAGCAGTGTAAGGGAAGTAACCAAAACGTTGTATTTGGATTACCTCCCTTACACTGTTTTAAATTATCTTTATTGTTCATTAACCATTACTTTATACATAATTTAAAAGCAGTGTCAGGGAGATAATTTCAATGATGTATTTGATTTATCTCCCTTACACTGCTTTAAATTATGTTTTGTACTAAAGTATTTGTCCATTAACCAGGACAACCTTGTTTTTCCCCCTTTTTTGCCCCTAATTCCTAAACGGTTTGAGCCATAACCCCCCAAAGCAAATCCTAACCATCCCTTTGTGGTATGGAAACTTGTAGTATAATTTCAGAGAGATCTATACACCATTCCACAGTTATTGTCTGGAAACTAGAAAATGCTTATTTTTGGCCCCGTTTTGGCCCCTAATTCCTTAACTGTTGGTACCATAACCCCCAAAATCAATCCCAACCTTCCTTTTGTGGTATTTAACCTTATGGTCAAATTTCAAAAAAGATCCATTTACTTAAACTAAAGTTAGAGTGCGAAAACCAATGTGTCTTCAGACGACGACGCAGGACGACGACGCCAACATCATACCAATATACGACCACAAAATTTTTTTGCGGTCGTATAAAAATGCTTATTTTTGGCCCCCTTTTTGGCCCCTAATTCCTTTACTGTTGGTACCATAACCCCCAAAATCAACCTTGTGGTAAAATTTCATAGAGATCGATTCACTTAAACTAAAGTTAGAGTGCGAAAACCAATGTGTCTTCGGACGACGCAGGACGACGCCGGACAACAACGACAACGACGACGACGCCAACGTCATACCAATATACGACCAAAAAAATTTTTTTGCGGTCGTATAAAAACAGAAAGAAGATGCATGTACCAATATTGGTTTCATAAGTTGTTCCCTCTAGAACTTCTGCTATACCATTGCTGTTACATTTCTCCGACTTTAGCTCAATTCTTCTCCTTTTATATTTCCTCGTCTTCTGTAATTTACTGTACTTTCTTCTGATCTTATCCATGAAGGCAGCACGCTTTATGGTAAAATTGCCTGGTGAGAGCCCCATTGATTCATGAACCTGTTAAAATGCATGTCAGAAAAAATATTTAATAATTACAACAGTATACATGTGCCTTTCTCAACTTTAATCTTAATATTGTACACACACTCACTGACTGAAATGTTATGACTAAAATTTGAAGACGATATATGTCTCTGTTTGTATACCTTGCCGACTCTACATAAATATTATTAAAATATTATAATATTGAGGATTCATTTATTTTGATGGGTAGCAAATTTCATGAATTTCTGAAACCTTGGGTTTACCATGTTTATGTGAATGTGATGTTGTGGTTCTGTCAAAGTCTGGATACAACTTTAGAAAAATATTTAATAAAGAATTACAGATGTTGTTCTAAATAGTTCATTTAATTACCTCATGCACATATCTGTGGCCTTCATTTTTCTGTGCCACTGTTGCACTAAACCTGTAACTTAGACTGTTAGATGCAGAATAATGTTTATATTTAGGTGCTTTTGTTGCTAACATTTGGTTGAGATTTTCATTTGTTTGAGTGCTAGCAAGATTTGCAAGTTTTTCTGCTTGAATTGATAATTTTTTAATAAAAATTCTATCCAGTTCCTTCCTCAGCTCTGGATTTTGAAGTGGTTTGCCGTATGGTAACTTACTAAATTTTGCCAAAGGGTGTTCAAGGAAGACACACCACTTGGTATTACAGAAGCTATGGTCACCAAAAATATGTCCTACCATTGCTTTCAAGCCAGTTGTTACACCTTCTGTGTTTTTTTTATTTTGCGCAACCATGTATGAAAAATTCTGCATGATGTAATTGATGACCCTTTGTGACAATTCTTTGTAATTCTTTTTTATTGCATATAACTGTTTTGATATGTTTTTCTTGATATGGTTTTTGTCCGATCTTTTCTTAAGTTTTATTTTAAGAACGTTTTGTGCCCTTTGAAAACCTGTAGTGTCATCATCACCAGCAATTTCTTTAATATCGACACCCTTATTTATTACATCTTTTATCATATCAACCACTAAAGCTGGCTCCATGCCTTTAGATGAGCCTGTATGGTTTTTGCTGCATTTGTGCTCTTTTGGAACTATACCTTTTCTTTTGGCAACATCACAAGTCCTGCAATTTTTTGATTTTATTTTTACATTCAATACCTTCCCGGTCTTCTGTCCAATCAGTGATGCACATCCTAAAACATGCATAACATATCAAAAGATTTAATGTTGTTAGTATAGAAACATGATATATTTTGTGCATGTTATCAATAGGATAATAACAAGCATTCTGTGAGCATTTCCTGGCAATACATAGTCCCCTAACAGATTAAAATTACATTGTACTAGAACAAAATGTTAACCAGAACTATAACTTGTCATTGTGTAAACTATATAACAAATATCAAGTCATTGTATTCAAAACAGATAAACAAAAAAATTTTGAACATTTATTATCTGAGTGAATTTTTTTATGTCCAAGGACCATAACTCTGCACAAAATAATCAGCCTGGAACTTAATTCGAACTTGATATTTAACTTGTCATGATAATACTATATACCAATTTTCAAATAAATATCTTCAAGCAAGAAGAAAAGATGAGGAAAACTGATTAAGTGAGTGAATTTCCTAAGTACAAGGACCATAACTCTCTACAAAATCATTAGACCAAACCAAAACTGAACTTGATCTGTAACTTGTCATGATAAGACTCTACACCAATCATCAAATTACTATCTCAAAGCATGACTAAAAATTTGTGTAAAACTTATTATTTGAGTTGAACATCAATTGATACTTCAAAATAATATTCTTCAATTTTTTAAACATAACAAATACTAATTTATATAGTGTTAATTGTGTTACTATACCAGACAAACTATTATAGGATTTCCCGGAGCCTTTTTTTTGCCAACAGGTATCGGTGGAAACTGCAATCCCTTTGTTTTCTCCATTGTCATCAGAATCTATTGATAAAATAAAAAAAACATGTATACAAAAAATTGCACAGAATAGCAAATTGATCCCAAGTTATATACAATATTTACTTTGTACATTATGAGAAAAAATATAAATAACTTGTATGAGCTGTATAAACTGGACTAAAAGTGAGACTTGTTAAGCTTTTCTGGCTTTTGTAGAGAGTACAAATAAATTTTATATTTCAGACAATGTAAATATATATTTGTATTTTTATCAATCTGATGAGTTAAGTCTTTTTTTCAACTGATTTTTATACCTCGTTCTTATATTGTACTGTTACACCACTTGTTCTTATATTGTTATGTTATACCACTGTCACTGTCCCAGGTTAGGGGAGGGTTGGGATCCCGCTAACATGTTAAAACCCGCCACATTCTTTATGTATGTGCCTGTCCCATATTAGGAGCCTTACATTCAGTGGTTGTTGTTTGTTTAGGTGTTACATTTTTGTTTTTCGTTCATTTTTTTGTACATAAATTAGGCTGTTAGTTTTCTTCAGAGGCAGATTAAGAGGGGGGCTTAGGGGGCCTGGGCCCCCTTTTTCTGGTAAAAATTGGTTGATTGTATAGGGAATTACTGAGGGGGGCTTAGGGGGCCTGGGCCCCCTTTTTCTGGTAAAAAATTGGTTGATTTTATAGGGAATCACTGAATCATGAATGAAGTGGGCCCCCTTTTATGTCGTCAGTGGGCCCCACTTATGAAAATTTCTAGATCTGCCACTGTTCTTGTTTGAATTGTTTTACATTGTCATTTCAAGGCCTTTCTTAGCTGATAATGTGGTATGGGCTTTGCTCATTGTTAAAGGCCATATTGTGACCTATTATTTCTGTGTCATTTGGTCTCTTGAGGAGAGTTGTCTCATTGGCAATTATAATATATCTTTTTTTTTTATATTGTTTTTAATCTGCAATTTACACCTGGCACTTTTGTAAAGAGGACCCCAAAATAATATGTGTATATTGACGGTAAGGGTCAAAAGTTAATAATTGATGCTGATTGGCCTCCTACCCACTACTTAGATGACATGATATAGTTTAAGAATTTCTGGATAGTTTGTAAAACTCGATAATTACCATGAATAACGAGCAAAAAAACATGCCTAAGTTACAACAAACCATGAGTATTTTCCTGTAAATTAGACTCCATATTTAGATATTTTATCATGGATTCTTCAGCATATGAATCCAATGCTGCCCCAACTTCTTCTTCTCTCGTCTTTAACCCAGATACGCTCAAATAGTGAAGATTCACCGAAGCCAACAGATTACTAAGTTGGGTCTCACCAAGGCCTACGTGAAGCATTCCTGTTGAAAATGAAATTATTGCATTGATTTGTATTATACATGTTAAAAATGAATTAAAGTACAAACTTCCTTAGTACCAGCAATAAATATTTGATTTAAAGATCACTGATAATGCTTCTTCTGATGACAAAAAAGTAGTATAACTTGTGTATATACATGAAGTGTATTGCAAACAAATGTATAAAAAAGTATAAGGTGTGTGTATAGACTTAGTGTAAAGTACATGTAAGTTAATACATGTATATAATAAATTATAATTTGTGTATGTTAAGTACATGTATATAGTGTATTTAGTAGGTTTATATTTAAAAAATAGTTTAACTTGTGAGTAAAGTGTACAAGTAATTTAACATGTTTAATATTAATTTATTTTCAATACAAATCTTATTAATAGATATATATATATAAACTCCTATGCTGATCTTACTAAAATTTGTAATTTCAAACCCATATATGTTTCTTTCAATATGTCTGTGTTTTAAAATTTTAAATATAGGAAAAAGAAAAAGTATAATGAAATTAACACAAATCTGGAAGACCTCTGACATCAGTACATGAAATAGCTGTAATTATGCATGGTTATTGTTTATTATATTATTTATACTTTACCTAATTTATCAAACAATTTTTTGCCACACATGGAGCCATTCCAATTTTATAAAGTGTTTATAGGAGCTGCTTAATAACAAAGAATTACAAACAGTTGACATAAATAAACAAGCTGATTGTAATTAACAATTTAGTAAGCAGTCCTTAATTAAGTAGACAGCACTTCTGTATCTACAAAATATTTTACATTATTTAATCTTTGACACTAGTTTAAATATATCATGTACTGATCTCAAAAAATGCTTACCAATGAAAATAAAACAATCAACAGTCTTCTCTGAAATGTCCATGCAAAACATATTGTACATCATTCTCTTCAGGTTTCCATCAGTTCAATTTAAAATTACAGATTAAACAAATGGTAAACTATTCTCTTCAGATTCCACCATTTGACACGGAAACCAGCATGGCAAGGAAAGAAAATCAACTGATTTACTAGTTTCTTTCACAATGCACAGTCCTAGCTGTTAGGGGAATTGAGCACTCACGAACTCATTAACCCATCAGCATTCTTAATGTGCTTGTCCCAAGTCAGGAGACTGTACAATCAAGTTCAGTGGTTGTTGTTGGTTCATGTCTGTCATATAGGTTTTTCATCAATTTCTTGGTTTTAAATTAGTCTGTCTATAGTCTTCATAATTGAATTGTCTTATATTTTTCATGTCAGGTATTAAATAGCTGACTATGCCATGACATCAATTTTTCTCCTTGTTGAAAGTATTATGGTTGCCTTTAATTGCTTACATCCACTTTATTTATGTTGTTTTTATTGTACATGCATGACATGTACATGTGGATGCATCATTTTAATCAGTTCACCAAAATCAATTTCTGATATCCCTTTCCTTTTTGGCTGTCAATGTCATACATGTATATAACAGTACTGCATTTTAAGGCCTTTAAAACAGATTTATGTCAAACACAATTTACAATGGGGTAACTGTTTAAGCCAAATTTCTCCATGACCCACCAAGAAAAGGGTTACATGTATATGCATGTTAATATTTTTCTATCTTCAAATCATGACTGAATTAAACCTGAAGAAAAAAAATCATTTATTGATCACATATATAACAAAAATGAAAAAGTAACACAAAAATACAGTTATAATTTTTCAGAGTGCCATTCATGTACCTGTTGCAATTTTGGTGTTTACATCAAAAACTCCTGGACCACTTTTGCTCGGTGTTGTAAAATGACGCTTTGACAGTGGGATTTTCTTAACTCGAATACATTGCTTACATTCTATGTAAAGCCATCCTCCTAACCCTCTTGGTAAAACACCTAATGAATCCTTCAGATGAAGGTGTTTCATACAATTTGAACATGACTCAAGGCCTTGAATAATCAGATCAATTTCAATAATAAATCTACAAAAATTTAAAGGAACTAGGTTGTCTGGTAGTATATCAGTTCTATCATATATAAGTTCATCTTCTTCATCACTTCTGCCTCCGGCGATATTTGATACAAGTTTTATTACATTTAAATTGTCACTAACAGTAACACAATAATCGTGTTCCTCTCTTATTCCAGATGCCAAATTTGAATTACTCTGACTTTTCTGATGTCTGATTTTCATAAACGACGCAGATTTGCTTATTAATTTGTTTGTCGAAAATTTACCCTTTTTAAATTTTAAAAATACCATTTCAAATCGTTGGAGTGTTGATATTTACATTTTCCGGTTGATCGACGCTGAAGAATTTCGAGTTTCCGGTAGAAAGTCGTAAATATAAAATGCGTTGGAAAAGGATCTTTATAAAATAATGATTAAGTTTTTGATCATTTATTAATAAATAAATTACCTCTTTAATAGTGAAAAAACATATTTTCATAAATCAATCCCCAAATAATATTTCAACATCTGACAGTCTTCGGATCGTAGTTGCGCAAGTTTTATGCGCGGTGGTATTCAAATGACTTACCTTAAGTTTTAAATAATACAAGCATTCAACTTTAATACTAAGTATTCAATCTATGCATGCGTAATAACTAAAAAAAGCTGAAATATAAAAAAAAAAGCAATTTCAGGGTTGTAATTTGACACAATCATACTTGCTACATAAAACAAAATCATAATATGATTACTAACAACAAATGTGACAAATTCTCATTGTAATGGGTATGCTTTCTTAAATTTGAATTTTACATGACTTTCAGTGATAAAAATAAAACCGCTAGTTCATAGTCCTATTACTTTCTTTGTTACAATCTCCAATTTCAAGCTATAATGACTTGTTTGTCGTAAGTTCAAATAAATTTGCAGTCCTTTCATGCATTACTAGAAATATTGTGTTCGATATCAAATATTACGGATTTTTATAATACAGACTAAATTAGAAAAATGTCATAATATTATGGGAATCACTAAGTGTCCCGACTTTTTGATAGGCATCTCAATCTGAAGTCTGCTAAAATATATCTTAGTAACACAACTAATCACTTTTTATCTTAGAAAATTGCTATGCTATAAATATTTCTATTTCATCTTTCCTACTAACCTAGGGGTTTTAAACGATTTCAGGAATGCGTTCATCGTCACTGTTTTGATTCAACTGATAATTTCCTTTAAATGACCAGGATGACTAGATCGATTATAAAAAAAAAAAAAAAAAAAACCAGCCGTTACATGTAATGGCGTAATAAAAGGACTTTTAACTCTCACGAAACATTTAAGGGTCACATATCTTACATATCTTGTTTGACTACTTGACTAGTTTGCAGCAATATACTAGTATCAACACAGTATATCAGCCATATGATCAATTCACAATATGTACCCACGATTGTAGGCAAAACAAATTAGGTGTTTTAATAAGTAATTTGACATTATTCAGTTAATTATGTTGTGTCCTTGTATCGTTATAATGTGTGAATAACAAATAATACATAAAGCTAAAATTAACCCTCAACTATATTCTAAAAAATATAATGCATAATAATTTGTCATACCGTTCATTTTCTGGCATTTACACTATTTAAAGAACTGCATGGGTCGAAAGTTCAGTATATTATGACAGGCTATTATGACTTTGGCACAACTGATAGTGTATTTTTTTTAACAAAATGGTAGATTGAATAACCCCATGAACACTGTTTTTCAGCTGTTAGTGGAAAGCTTCTGTTTGCAAGTACCAAATCTCAATCTATTATGGAAGTTGATGTTGATACACTCAATGTGACTGTACTTGTTGGTCATGGAGGAAGTCGTGTGTTTTCTTTGGACTACGATTATGAAAACAGATACGTTTATTTTCCAAGAATTGATTTGAGTGACATTGTGCAGTAAGTCTACTTCAACACATGTATAGAATACCTCACAAAGTTATAAAGAATTAAATGAGATAACAACATTGCAGGTCTTGCATGTCGCCATAAATAAAGGACATGTCCAAAATGCGAATTGAAAACAACAAAGCAGACGAGCTTTGGGAATCTGTTAGTATTTAAATACGAGATTTGTCTGTATTTAATATGGTAAATAGATATAGTAAAGTGTTTTTTTTTTTTTATTTACAGTAACTTTAAGACTGAAGAGTAGATTTGAATAACTCAGTCCGTTGATAAAAGTGCAAAATGTGCTAACGAAAATTGACTTTTCGTAAATTATATACCATGTAGACGGGGGGAAAGCATTATCATTTAATCTTGCAAGAAAATATAAAGTTTTATTCGCATAACATTGACATACTTTTTCCTAAATTGAAAACCATTTATTTATGTTCATGATATTTTACTAATCTTATTCAAAAATGTTAGTAAAATATATTGTACATTATGAGTGTTTTTACTTTGCTCACATTTTCAGTATTCATTTTTTCAATTGAAAATATGACAAAATGATAACCTACAGTGCTTAGCTTTGAAGCATTTTCCTGTGAAACAATTAAACATAACATTTTGAAAATGATGCAGTTGGAATATAATCTTATTTTTAATTTCTAAATTTTTTTTGATTTTTTTTTTGATTTTTCCGTTTACTTAAAGGAAAGCTCAATATGTTACACTGATGAACATACTATATTCCTCTTTTTGTGGTAAAATAAAAAAAAAGTATATTCTAGATATTTTCCGTATGCTATTGAACAACAAAATCAAAAGTGGTTTTACAAAGTATTTTTTTAAAGACATAACTGATAACTTTACACAACAATCATAATTTACCAAAATGATGTGTACTATAATTAAAAGTGTGTCATTTTTTTTTTGTCATCACCCCTTATGTATGTGAAATTGACATGCATATGGCTATAATAACTGTACACTACATTGTGTTAAAATGGAGATATAGAGAATACCTGAACTAAATGTTCGAGAAGCCTAAATTGCAAACGCTTTTTTTGTCCAAGAAAATGTACCATCTTGTTCTTTATGCATTATAATCTGCTTTCATTGTCCGTAGTTACATCAGAAAAATGTAAAACATATAATAACAAAATCACAACAGCACAATAGCGCAAATGATCGTAGAAAACATGTGAACTGACATGTATATAGATTAAGGAAGATGTTGCATGAGTGCCAATGAGACAACTCTCTCATCCAGGTCACCATTTGTAAAAATAAACCAATATAGGTAAAAGAACGGTCTTCCTCATACATGATTGAAAATTGCAGGTCCCCGTCATGGAGTCATAAAACAACTAATGCGTGGCTTCGTTGTTTTCTAATATGTAGATTTTTATAATTTCAAACATTAGTAGCAAGTGTGTCTTCTGTTGAAATTAAGTGATAGGAATGGTGTTATAAGTACCTTTAACTGTTTCTTACGTTTGTCATCCTTAGCATTTCTCGTACTTAGTGGGTGTCAACGTGTCTGGTTTTGATAGGTTATGAAGTTAATGATATTTCTTTAATTTGTTTTAATATTTTTTTAACACCTTTATGCGTATCTTCTCAATCGATAAATGATAATGTTTCTTTTATTTATTGTAAAAAGATTTAAAAGTACCTTTAGGTGCACATAAGAGCACACTGGTTCTGAAGTACTTTAATATTCACTTCTTCTTTTTTTGTAATAGACAAAATATGCCCTTCTTTTTTAATTGCATGCATATTTTTGTTATTTATAATATCGATTTTTGTAGGAATTTATATGTTACAAATATATCTATATTTAATTCTTTATGTTATTTCTGACCGTGCCCCAATAAGTAATATTTGAATATTTAGAAAATAATACATTTTCAACGCGAGTGCACCATATGTTCGATTAATGATTTGCAATCAACACTTGATTTTACTCAGGGGTTTTTATGTCAGCTTTTATGTAATGCTTATGTTATTTATGTATATGACATATTTTGACCGTTATAGACTTTAGTAGGAATTAATATGTTATACATATGTATTTCTTTGTTTGTGTTATTTCTTACCGTGCCCTCACAAGTGATTTAACTTTCTGTTTAGTTGAATTCAACCTTTGATAATGACAAATATTTCTCTCAATGAAGGCTTAGTCTGGTCATGTCGATATTAATTGATAAAGCTGTCTTATTTGATTTTACAGAATTAACAAAAGAACTGATGTACAATATTTATGACAATTAATTGCATGTAATTCTGTTTATTATTTGAAGTACTTTATTATTCACGAAATTTGAAATCAATAGAACAGAGAACACAAGGGTGTTTAAAAAGTTTCTAATTTGTAATTACGTCACGTATTATTAGAATATAATAAATAAACAGAAAAGGAGGAGGTCGAAGTCGCAAATACCACTAATACTCGTAAAAAACAGATAATACCATAGCCCAAAAGAACAACTAACAAGTTCTACACAGATAATTCAGATTACATTACAGGTACATGTATTCAACTAAAACCGGAGAGGAACTCAGATGCATTTTCTTGACACTCATGGCAAGCAATGTGGGTTTTTTTGTAATCTGTTGCATTCGATCATATCTTAATAGAGAAATATAGGATGGATTGTAGCTAAAGAAAATGTCGTGATTATCTGTTACAATGATTTTCAATTATAGTTACCATGTAGTACAAATGTATCGTGTGGATATATTTCTTTATACAAACATTAAACATTTCTATATCTATTTAATATCGAAAAACATTTTTTGTCCCTTTTTATATTTGTGGAACATGAAGGTTTCTAAATGTCATTCAATTTAATTTTTTTTTCAAAATAGGGGGAAAAAAACCGCTCATATCTTTATTTAGGCAAACCCCTGGATAAATATTTGCCGTAACTATAAACTGTCGATTTTGGTTGCAAATAACGGTATATATATTTTAAGGAACAAATATTATCCTGTAAAATTTCTTTTCGTATGCAACATTAGTTAAAGCCCAATTTCATGGAGTATTGAAGGTGTCTTGATTTTGTGATGAAAATCATAATTCAGTGAGGTATGATTTAATGAACAACAAAACATAATTTTTAATCAGTATCGTTAGTGCCTTACAGTAATTTTTAATTTTTATATTTCCATATCCCTCTCAGAACATAGCATTGCAACATGTTGTGAGTACAACGGCTGTTCCAACAGGTATATCTGTTGATCCCGCGAATGATCATGTCTACTGGGTTAATGATGATGGTGGTCACAAACTTTCAAGGT